GTTTTAAAAAATCAATCAATTAAAAATCTTATTCCTCTAGAAATGGATGTTCCTCAACAGGATGGTCTTCTTGACTGTCGTGTCCAGCAATTATCTGCTCTTGTTGAGTACTGTGCTGTCAATCAAATTAGCACGTGCTTTGAGTAGCTTTACATCACTTTATTTCGGTCGTAACAAAATTGGTAGCGGATTCAACTCATTTCTTCACGAACACACAATTTGGCAAAAAACACAATCGGTAGCGCCTCTTGTACTTCGTTCAAATTTACAAATCTTTTTGTCTTGACTCAAAATTTTGTTTATGTCACTTTAGCTTTGACATATTCATTCGAGATCAGTATTCACTGAGATTCACTGACCAAAACAATTTTCAACTTAATGCCTTCGTTTTCCTCATGTCCCTTCTTAGACATACCCGTGACTTAAAACACGCAAGATGTTTTCATAGAAATAGAATTGTCGACCCTCCTTTCCCACAACCCACACACCCGCTTCAGTCATAATCATCACAATTCCTAAAATCGGTGATGTCTTCAGTTCCACCAAGCTTCCCACTGCTAGACGATGATATGGTGTTGTTGTATCCGCATTCTTGGCTCGGGGCAGGATTATTTCCAAATTAAAAGGTTCTTCTTGTAAAAACCATTCTGATGTTATGAATTTTCTGTAATTGTACATTTTGTGATTAGTCTATATTCTTTCAATTTTTCACTTTCGTCTCTTACTTGAAAATGTTTCCTTCTGCTCCCGTTGTATCAGGATTCACGTAATACGGCATCACCAGACACTGTCCTGTTCTTCCAGCTGTTCCGGTATGGGTATGTTTCGCAGATGCTTTTCGCCCTTCTACAATTCCACCGTTACATGACCAATAAGGTGGGCGTCCGACACACGGGTAAATTGGATAGTCGTTGGGAGTTTTTAATAAACTCAGGCCTGCACGAAAGGCCACGTTGTGGTCTCGTGCAAATCCGAGAATCCCATTTGGTGTTAAGTGTCCAAATTGTATCAAATTTCCATGGGTCTTGCTGTAACGACGTAAATAGTCAATTGGTGTGGGAATTGCCCACCAGCCTTTGTGATCTTCGTCCGCTTCTTGCAAAATGCCAATTCGGCGCTCCAATTCCGCGTATAGTGCTTCTTGATACACTCGAGCTGCCTCCATTTTTGTCGTCGCATTAATATGCTCCTTGTTTACGGATCTTAGTGGAATTAGTGGAATCCCTTTTTCGTCTCGTACCAATTCGACTGTCCTGTTCACTTCTGGTCTCAAACATGGTGGGGAAGCGCCTAATGCAATTGCTGGGCACTTAAAGTACTTTGATATTTCCTTCATGGAATTAGTGGAATCCCTTTTTCGTCTCGTACCAATTCGACTGTCCTGTTCACTTCTGGTCTCAAACATGGTGGGGAAGCGCCTAATGCAATTGCTGGGCACTTAAAGTACTTTGATATTTCCCTCAGGTACTTCGAGTATTTTTCCATGAAATCATTAAATGATTTTATCTCCCCTCCATCCGTGCCCTTTATTAGCTGTTTAATGTCGTTTGTACCTCCTCTGATGTATGCTTGTGCAAATTTAAAGTCTGGCGCCAGGTTCAAGTCATGTTCAATTAACATTCTCAGACATTCCGCAGACATCACTCCGTTCCCGACGACTAACGACCACCCACTCATAGTCCACTGTAATTGCAATAAAATTTATTGTATATTTATTCAGGTTTCCTTTTCAACGTGCTTACTTGTAGAATCTCGACGTCTAGATCGTCCACCATATATCCCACATCCATCACCGGGTAATGTACCCATTCCTCGCAGTCTACTCTAGTTCGATAACTGTCCTTTTTTCCCCCAAAATGAAAGGTACTGCACATTGAGGTACTAATAAGTATGATGGCCTAAAAGCTCGATAAAGCAGCACCAAGAGGAAGTTAGCCCCAAGCAAGGCACGATTTAAACATCAACAGCTGCTAACACGGACCCTATCCGTCCAGTTACGAGAAGGGAAAGTCGAGAGGCATCTAAAGGTGCGTCAATCCCATTTCTGCCGCTACGTTGGCAAAATAATTTGGTGGTGAAATTGGAAAGAATTTCGAGATCCTGAAGATCATTGACAAGTGCACTACATAAAAAAAAACACAAACATTTTTCATTAACTTCGTTCTCCATTTTATACTTTTAAGTTTTCTATTTACCGAACCCGTATCCGTCCCTTGTTCTTGGCCCTTCACGTTAACGCGAGCCCAAGTAATAGCGGAGGTGAAGCAAAAGAAACCCTAGGAGGAACAGGTCTTACTTGTGCCGCCTTCGAAGCTAACAAGGGTCCAATTAACAAGGCGGGAGCTAATGAAGGTTTTGTGACATATCTGTAATATAAATCCAGTTGTTATTGTTCATCCTTTAACTTTTTGCTTTCTTCTATACCTGTTCTTTCCAAGTCAGGTTCTACGTGTAGCTTTAAGGATTCACGCCAGATTTTTTCTAGTGCTCTTTCCTTTCCCACGTGTAGCGTTACGTTTCCCAACTTTATTTCAATTGTATCGCCTGCAAAATGAGACTTTCTTTCTAAAAATATTCTTAATTCTCAATATTTTTTACATACCGATGTTCTTTAATTCGTCATTGTTGTTCAGACTTAGGAACAGTTCTGTTGGTTCCGTAAAACCTCGCAATAGGTGCTCTCGATCCACTTTTGTTATTGCCGTAAAGGCCTTTCGTAATCTCGTCATTGCTGCTGTTTCGGCCTTGTTTGAGTCTTCAATTAGGCGACGACGGGCGTTTAGCGTTGTTACCATTGTGGTCTCGGACTGTGCCAGTTTCACATGTTCTTCCTCCACTGACATTAACTTCGCCTTCTTTCGGTTCAACGAGGCTTGGGAACCTTCTATCATTCTGTCGCATAGGAATTCATTTTTTATCACTGCCAAGCATTCCACGAGACGTTTCCACGAGTCCAGGCTTAGCTTCTCCAGTTCATTCATGAAGTCGGTTGCAATCGTTGGGAACCTCACTGTTCGTTCCTCATGTTTGTTTGATTCATTCCCTGTAATATTATAAAGTATGCAATTGTTTCAGTTTTTTGGGCACCATGTTACAGTAGTTTGTTATTCAAAAACTACTTTTAGCGCCCTCACGGTGGTAATGGCTCCGTAAGCCACCAATTACGATGGTTGGGCCCGCGCTTCTGGCGATTTCTTTTTGAAAGTTTAGCAATTCACGGAGGTGGTCAACACTGGTCTTACCATTTGGATTGCCTGGTTCCTCCTTTTCGGCTTCCACCATTGCAGCGGCGGCAAATACGTTCACCACGTCCATGTTTTCGTCTGGATTTGCCATCACTTTACTCCGAGTGTTGTTTTCGCGAGTTCTCTTTCGATCTTTTGTTCTCACTGATGTTTTCTCGTATTCTTCGCGCACGCGCAATGTTTTTCTGTGAAAGTTTACAAATTTGTGTTAGTGTTTGGAGAAATTGAGGACTTGATCACTCCTTTGTTTCTTTTGAACACAATTCTTGGGACCTTCTTCGCGAGCTCGGCTTTGTCAGACACCCTTCAACTGATTCACTTTTCACTCTTTGCACTGATAGATTCCATTTTCCGGCGTACTGTCATGGCGTTTAAGAGCACTTATGTTCCATCAAAGAGCTTGTCAAGCTCATTGATGAAACAGGGGGGATTTATGTTGGGCATGTACGCCGGGTACAATAGAATACTTGAATTCTACGAATTAAAATAATATTCCCCCCTCCTCAAAATCGCAGTGCCAGGCACATCCTGGTACCGGATGCGCCAAGCACTGTAGCATCTTCGACGATAACTTTTCCTGCCATCATTGAAGGAAGTAAAACCTTGTGAAGGTTAATTACGTTAATTATTATGAATGCTATATAAAGAGCTTCGATTATCAGTAAAAAAGTTCAGTTCAGATTTACGTGTTCGTTATTCAAGTTATTCCTAGTTACAAGCCCGAGCTCGTGAAGTCGTTGACTTATCCATTTATCCGAAATACAATTCCCGTTAAAGTAGGAATTCCAATAAGGAATCCCGGTCCAGTCCCGGACTGATTTATTCGTTTTATTTCCGTTCGTTCCAAACACTTGACATCAAATTATATTGTGGCCCATTTGTGCCCAATAACGTTGAACGGCTTTTTGGAGAAATTCCAGCAAAGCCTTTATTTGCAAATTCTAAAAATTCGTCGACTCAAAAAAATTTGACAAAAATTATTTATTTAGCATAGTTCTCAAAGAGAGAATTGACCATTGCAAAAAAATTCAAAACATGTTTAAGAGGTGAAAATTTTCTCTCATTTTGAAGACAGTATAGAATATTCTATAACCTCTTGAAAATGTACACTTTTTCTTGGTTGAAATAATTGATGAATTTCATGGCATTAATTTTAAATCAAGGCATTTCAGTAGAATTGCATTTGAAAAAAAACCGGGTTATAAAGAATTATTGGTTACAATGAAGTCGTTTTCCAGGTCCTTGCCCAGGAGCAATATTCAAATCGCTTTATAAATAATTTTTCATTATAACACAAGCTTTTACCCCTGTTTCAATAGCTTTGTTGTGACAAGATTTTGATGTAACTTGCTGAAATCGATACATTTTTTTAAATGTCAGGTGCAATATTTTGTTTTTGTTGTAGCCTCTGAAAGGAAAACAGGTTTCATTTTTCAGAATGTTTCTTTGCATTTTTCTAGTTTGAGAAATTATGAGGTCAATTCAGACTGAAGGTCAGCAGCAGAGTTCTAAATAAAAGAGAGTCCATGAAGAAAATCAGAATACAGTCACAATTTTCAAAAAAAATGTTTGTAGTGTCACTTCCATTTATACTGTATATGTTTTGTACAAGTAGAGGATACAAAAAGTGATTGCAGGCATAAGTGTTCATAAATCACAAAAAGTTGGTGGATTAAAGATGATGATTTACAAGCTGTATTTGTTACTTGTCAGCATTCACAAGATTTAAAAAATTCTCACACATGCATTCAACAAATTCCTGCTTATGGGAGAAAAAATCACTTTATGAGTATTAAAAGAAAAAAATAAATCTTAGTACTGTACATAACAAATGCATGAATAATTAATTTCCATAATCTTTTTACTCCAAGAATGACAAAAATCACAGCACAAGACAATTAATGAGGAAAAATTAAAGTGCAATAAAGTCTTTAACCTGATCAAAGATAATTTTTAATTTGTCAAACAATTTAGAAATCAACTTTGAGGAGAAATTGTATTTGGTAATTTATCAATTTATAATTCTGATAAATTATTGTATTGATATTTTAATATTTTTAAATTATTTTTTGGGGGAAGAAATAAATTTTTTAATATTACTACTGTACATAAATTAAAAATTAAAAATTGAAATGAAAATTCATTTAAAAAAATTGGAATTGATGGACACTAAAAATATATATGTATATGTATAAAAATTTAAAACTGACCTTTGATGACTGGCGCAAGTCGGGCTTTCTTATCAGCAATTTTCTGATTGAGTTGCAAGACCATTGCTGACATTTCATTCAGAGTTGCTCCTTTTGCTGAATCAATGGAACCCTTCTCAGTGCTGATTTCCTCCATTTTCTCCTGTGCCAGAGAAAACCCTGGAATTCCCTGCTTTGCCTCCAAAGTTGCCTGAATTATAAAAAAAAAAAAAGATTCACATTTGAGAAATTGAAAAGAAAAAAAAATCTGGTACTCTATATGTAATACTTACCAAAGCTCTTTGTGCATGGTCTTCTTTGGCTCTTAGAATTTCTTCAGTGCGACTCAAGACACCAAATTCAGCACGAAGTTCCGACAGTTCTTGACGCTTGGTTTTGTAAAGAGTGCTTTTGGTTCTGAGTAATAATTGCATGGAAAACTTAAGAAGAGGAAAATGTTGGGGCAGAGGAGGCTTAACGAGGTTAACTGGGAAAAATAGGACATTTATGCGGTACTCGGTCACAACTTTAACACCCGAAATCTCATAGATAGCAAGAACCTTGACTATAATATTGAAGCACAATGTGTGTTCAATTTTGAATCTCATGTTGTAAAATCACAGTAAAATCTCAGCAGTGGGGTCTGATTTCATGAACAGTATTTAAATTTAAATATGTCATAGAGATAAACATTTGAAAGTTGGGCTTTGATTTGGAATGGGAATTCTAATGGGGAAAACACCATAGTGAAGGTTTTTCATTTTTTCTGCTAAATTTAAATTATTCTCAACACATTACATTCCTAATAACAGAATATAAAAATATTACTATTCTGGTACTTTCATTTTTATTTTAGAAATTTCTAATTGATTGGATTTGTGCACAATTTCCTTCTTCCACTTCAGAAAAAAAAAAAAACACCCAAGAAAATATATGAATCAGCCCTGTTTGAAATATTTTGCAGACAATCTTTGCAAGAGTCACACCTCACTCAAGATATGAGGCACCCATCTCACTTTTTTTTTGTTGGTGTAGCCCAGCTTCTCCTTCAGAATTCTTGAAATTAATATGTCATTGGTTCAGGTGTTGATGAAAATGGCAGAATGACCTTGAAAGACCTGGAGTCAACCCTTGAGGAATGAAAGCCAGGTCAATCTCAAGAATTCTGAAGGAGAAGTTGGGCTACACCAAAGAAAAAAAAATGTGCATGGGTGCCTCATCTCTTGAGTGAAGAAGCTTCCAGGGGTGACTTTTTGCAAAACAATTGGCATCAAAATATGTCAATAAGGGGTGAACTTTTATTTTCTTGTGCCAAAGAGAGTTTAAAAAAAATCTTAATAATAATTGTTCAGCTCAACCATTTGCTTTTTTTAAATCAGTTTTTATTCTGAGAACTTTTGTCAGTTAAGTCTCACTTCTGAGTTGATTCTGAATAATGTGAATGTTCCAGGTTTTTATTACTGTGTAGTACTTTTCAAGGAATTTACAGTAAAATCAGATAAGTGAAAAAAATTATATTTACAGGAATATCATTTAAAATGTACCAATTTTTCCACCCATGTTTGTTGACACAGGAAGTGAGGAATTCAGCACCCCATCAATTATGCATTCATCATATCATTTTCTTCATCACATGTGCCTGCATGGTTTTCCAGGATTACTAATTTATTTAAATTAATTAAAATTTCACAATAATGCGGAGTAAAGTTAGTTTATTAGATTTCCTACTTGTTGTGTTTTACCTTGAGGTCATCCTCCAGTTGGGCCTTTTCCGTTCGGAGTTCATTCAGATTTTCTGCTGCTGAGTCTTTCTTTTTAACAATGATGGCTGCTTGCTGACGTTGTCTGGTGAGTGTTTGCTGGTCTTCAGTGGAATTGTCCTCTGCCAATTGCTTCTCCCGAATGGCTTGGATTTGTGACTGCGTTTGAGAGATCTGGCCCACAAAAAAAAAGAGAAGAACATTGATTCATTTGTACTTGCCTGGAGTCTATTACTGATGAAATAAAATAAAAAAACGAAAAAATGGAAGAAATGCAAAAAATACAATTTATACTTGTTCATAATTTATCACTGATGAAAATGAAAAAAATTAAAAATATGGAAGAAGTACGAAAAATACCATTTGTACTTGTTTCGAATTTATTGATGATAAAATGAAAGAACTGAAAAACGTGAAAAAACCTAAAAACTATTTGTAATTGTCTGAAATTTATTACTGATGTTACAGAATTGAAATTATGGAAGAAATACAAAAAATACCATTTGTACGTGTCTGGAATTTATTATTGATAGAAATGAAAAATTTTTAGGAAAAAAACACCATGTGTACTTGTTTGGAATTTACCACTGATACAACTTGTAGTCATAATAACAACCACAACACTCCTCACTTTCTGTACAACCCTTTTAAGCTAATGCATTTCTGCTATGCCTGGTGCGCTAGCAATTATATTTCACAATCCCATTGTTGACCAAATACTTTCCCAACTGCGCTCACGCTTCTTTCCTTTTAAATGAACAAAGTGTGACATCCCCAATCCAAATTGGTTCCTATGCGTTTTCCTTGACCTTGGCCAGCCAAAGCTATATACTGTATACAGGTGCATTTTATGATGCATTAAGTTTACCGCACCCAGACTCTGACCAAACGCCAGATCTATGCCGCTTTGCTCTGTAGCAACTGTATTGTATTTACTGTGTGACAAATATAATGAAATCTACTTTGTATACTCTCACAGATTAACTTTTGTGTTTCCTTCAGAAGTTGCGGAAAACATCTTAAATCTCTGATTTAATTCCTTCAGCTGTAAATAAGTATCTGACAATGACTGATCATTGTTGAGCATACTGATTGACATCATAGTTTTTGGATAAGAAACTGAAAAAAGTAAAATATGGAAG